TCAAATGCTGTAACCTGTGAGTGGCATATACACTAGTGATGGATGTTACTAGTATAACTGTCACTGTATTCAAGGTGGAAAAATTGCTCACTGTGACCATTCCCGGCAATTCTGTTAATAGTGACATAGATTGTCTTGCAAGCAGTGACAGACAAGAATATAATTGAATACCAACAATCATTATTTGAGTCATATCATCAACTGAAGTAATCTTTGTTATCTTACTGTAACTTAAAGCGCACAGACTCATTGCGACACATCGTTGTCCACCATTTTCCCCAAATTCTGTAACATTTCCTTGACAGTATGGAGCGTTAATTGTTTTTGTAGCATCTACATAAACTGAACGTCCTGGATTCTTCCCTATATCAGTACAAAGCTTAAATTGGCCAAAATTAACCCGGTGATTCAAACTGTTTTAAGCACTATAAAATGGATATTTACATGTACAGAAGGGCAAATTCTTACTTAGAAGCCTATTTGGATATCTCATTCCACCTAAATCGCCTGTGCTCTGATGCTTGGACGACAGATACAACTTCCCTCGTTTAGGAACTAGTTTTGGAGTTGCCCCTTAAGTAAAAACCTCACACTGTTACAGTTACTTCTGTACCTGTGTAAACCTTTTCTTCTTTTAACGTAACAATGAATTTCAGACGACAATGGTGTATTTTTCCGAATACTCTTCCCTACAAAAAGTGTCACTTTCCGTGTTTTCTGTAACAAAGATTTTAATTTGTTCATTGGCAGTCTGCTAGGGGCATGACGGTAACCGGTCATTTCGTTCCATGGTCAGATCGTTGACATCGTTCCAAGTCAGATCGTTCAAATCAATAGTCAGATCGTTCCATAGTCAGTTCGTTCCACAAAAAAGTCAGTTCGTTCCACATATGAAAAGTCAAGTAAATCTTTCTTAATTTGTTGAGTGAACTTAATCGAGAAGAAAAACGTTTCGTTCATACCACAAGCTGATAAAATAATAATCGATCCAAAGTCGATTCGATCCATCCTAAAGCGTTTGAAAAAAAACAAGGGACGATTTCAACCAGCCACGGGCTTTAGCATTTAAACCGCCGCTTTGAGAGTTTTTGAGCTAGAATCCATCGATAGTTTTGAAAGATATAGCACAACAAGTAAAAGCTATGCCGTTCTGAAGGTACAGTATCTCGAAGCGCTTGTAACCTAAATATATATTATGCAAATTTTGAAAAGAACGCGAGTTTCGAATTACAGTCTCGATTTTATGGTAATTTGTCATGCCGAAAATATAAAACCTGATTTAAACCGATGAAATTGTAAGTTCTGTTATAAATAAATTTCCCACGACGAGATCTCAATTCAACTTCTTTTATTTCCTCCACAACACAATTTTCCTTCTGTACAACTAGCTCATTGCCTTCTCTTGTCGTCACCTCGCTGCCACACAAAACTTGCTGATAATGCAAAATCCCGACGCACAGCATCGTATGAAAAAACACAACACGCAATACAAAAACAAGTACATTAACCGTCACCCTGCTAAACAAAATTGAAATACTAGTAATAAAAATAATTGTCGCAGTTATAACAGTAGTTCCAAAAGAAGCCTCAGTCCTTTTTGGTTTCAATTTTTGACAATCGTCTCTTCCTTCATCGGAACAGATTTTTATCACAGGCAACTCGCTGGGTTCCGCAATGCAAAAATCAAAATCAGTATTGTCACACTGATAACCAGCTACAAAAATCTTGCGACTCTCAAACTTGTTCAACATTCCTCTATTCGAACTGTTATCCATTTTACACGTACACTCCTGATATTCCGATTTGTTATTACGTCTATGGGGTCCACGAGCCTTTGATGTCAATGTCTGGATAATTTCCTTTGTCTTTCTTTGAGTTCGCGGACTTGCCCATTCCGAAAACACTCAGTGTTATTTTTTAGTGCGGGCCTAACGCGAACAGTGTGTGCATTTGTAAGTTTAACCCGGGATAACACAATTGAACAATATATTAACACGTCCCTCGAAACGCCGCGGCCACATGTTATCCAAACTGCTTCTCACTGCTGCTTCGAAAAATTTCGGATCAAACGATATCTAAATCGTCCCTCATTGGATTATCCACTCGACCTAACAAAATCGACCAATCACAAAAAATGGACATAAAATAAAGAAAACAGCAAATTCAGATGACCTCTTAGGAAACATGAAATTAAAACTGTCTTTCTATGATTGGTGCATTTCGATCCTCTCGTCAAAAAACTGTCAGACGTCAATCATCTTAGCGGACCTCTTAGGAAACGAAAGTTTCTTCAACGGGTTCAAAAGGTCATTGTTTATGATTTGTGATTGGTGGATTTCGATCCGTTTTTTGAGTTTCTGTGTTTCAAGGTTCGTTGCTTGTGATCTTCTTGCGACCAAAACCCGACGTTAATACTCCAACTATTTTCGATAGATTTCATCCCTGGACTTCAGACTTCGAAATTTCGACGAGGCAAAAATACTTAAGATTCAGATTAACTTTTGAGATCGTAAAAGTGCGATTAAGTGCCGTGTGCAAGCAGAGCTTTCTTTCCCACATGCCTCTTACCTTGTACAAGACGTTCGCATGGCATACATTCGCCTCGCTTCGCTTGTTTACTCGCCTTGTTTACGTTAGCACGTATTGCGTGCCTATTGCACATTTGCGTCAAAACAAGCCGTTTCCATTACTATATTTGGGCCACGCCCAAATAATAAATAACATTTGCTACTAATGATAAGAATAAAAGGTCATAATATCGTAACAATAAAAACGGTTTTGTTTATAATTTCTTTCATATCTAAGTGAGCGCGGGTCATGGCAGTCGCTAGGGAATACTTTGGAAATGCTCAAAGGGAAATAGAATTTAGAAATCTCTAAATTAAGAAGACCAATTTTGGCGCGGCCATGACACAGGGTTTATTTGAATGCTTAAGAAGAGCGGGGTACAATTGCGGAATTGTTTCACGATCGGGATACATTCGAGATTACTCAACATTCGAATTTAGGCCACGGGATCAAGAATCAACCAGCTGCAGTTCCTCTTTATTTAACTAGTGCACCCAAATTCATACCCCACCGTGGTAGTTTTTGATTTTTTGCAGCATTTCGAAACGTTTTACCTTCAGTGGAAAGCCTTTGATCGCCTTGACAAGATAGGGTATATTTTATGGGTAATGGCGCTGCTGGAGGCCTGGAACGTCACCAACAATGGTCGCCCTCTTGGATTTTACCAAGAATTAGAAATCATGTTAAAACCGCGAGAAATGGTGATTTTTGTGCTTGACATGAAAAATAACAGATAAGCAATTTGCGTGATTTCAGCCACCAGATTTGCTCTTATTGTTGAAAAAAGTTGAAAAAACATGTACTTTCACTCAAAAATGGCTTGACCACCTGCTGCTTATGACGTCATATTTCGTAACCATAGAAATTTTGACTCAAATGTGCTTGAGGGATGAACGAACAACTACTGAAAACATCAGGTGCTGATATTTTATCATCTAGGACAAAATTCAGAAAAACCTTAGGGGGGCAACCCTCCCCCCCTCCCCTTTGTACAAGAGAGAATGAGCTAGCTCATAATCTCCTGGTTAAAGTTTAGAAATATAACAGGTATTAGATATTTCCTTACGCAGGGCGACCAGCATCCCGCCCTTTCAAATGGAGTCTCCCTGGTAGCAATATACTCTAACCGGGCAAATCAAATTGACAGAACAGCTCGAAGTATTGGTGTCCAAATTGGTTAAGGCTACTTTCATTTGCTTAAGGAAGTTGCGTTACTTATTTTATTCAGCCAATCACATGTAAGTTTTGCAAGAGTAAAGGAATATTTTGTATCGGCCAACCAAAGCCCAGTAAATACAATATAGCTACTAGAATCAGCCAATCAACGCAAAGCCGCTGTGACAGCGTGCCAGAAACCAGTCGTCAGCTGATGGCAGTTTTTCTGTGAAGTAGGCTACTAACGTATGTTAAAATGAACATTTACAAGAAGCTCACTGTAATAAAATTACAACTTCAACTTCAAATTTGTTTGATAAAAATATTGATTACAATAGACTGGTCCGCAAAATAGCAATTGCTAGAATAAAGTGAAAGGAAAGGAAGGGAAAGAAAATATTTTAAGTTACAATAAATCATATTTCTATCGTAGGTTTAGGTTACTTACATTAAATCTAAGGAAAAGCGAAAAACATTTAATTTTGTACAGAAATCACTTGTCAACTGTTGATCCAACTTTTTCAGTTGTTAATGACGTCTCAATATAGTCATCTTCTCTTTTTAAGATATCGGAAAGCAATCTCTAACGTGAAGCACTTTCGTAAATTCCTTTTTAGGAAGATCTCTAATATGACAAGGTATCTCATTCCAAAGTAATACGCCAAAACGATACGAGTAGTGTAAAGGAGTTTTCGTGTATTTTCAGCTTTGAGCTTTGAACGTGAAAGTTATATGAGGTAGATGATAGTGTATGAGTATGAATGAATTGTTGAGGTTTTTTCAAATAAATTTGAGAGATTTGTTGGCGAATTGTTGCTAGTAATATCTTGCATTAGACTAGCTACAGTTTTATAATACATAAATGTCACTGGTAATATGTCAGCGTCGAGAAATAGAGGAATTGCGTGTTCACGTATATCCGTAAAATACATCATGCGAAGCACTTTCTCTTGGAGAATTAGAATTTCATTGAGGGGAGTCTTGGATGTCTGATCCCAGGCAGCGAGACCAAAGTTTAGGTAAGGATGGATTAATGTTTGGTAAATATATATATGAATATGACGAGGTAGGGAGTGCCGAAGGTTTGAAATAAGTCCAGTAGTAAACGTATTTGTGATTTTTGCCGTAATAGCGTCAATTTGATATTTCCAAGTAAGGTTTTTATCAACTAACACACCAAGACATTTGATAGAATTTTTGGACTCTAGAGTAACATTTCCATTTTTCCCGTTTTTTTTTTTTCTCCTTCCTTTTAAGCTTTAGATTGCCCTGTTGGTTGGAATGAATTTGAAGGCTCCTGCTACAAGGTTTTGCAAAAGTTTGGTTATTTGCGAAAATTTTCATGGTCGACAGCCTTAGACGTGTGTTCGGGGTATGGAGGAGGCCTTGCTAGCATATCGAACGAAAAAGAGATGGACTTTGTTCGTAACCTGTCCCCTAAATTCAGAAGCGATCCTGTTTGGATTGGACTGGCTTATCGGTTTCAGAAAAGAGCATATTTATGGAGCAATGGGAGTTCTTTCAACAGTTCTGTTTCCGGCAAATGGCTGGGCAAATTAGCAAGAAATGTATCTGAAAACAAATGCGTCGAAATCTTGGGAAATGGTCCGAGTCTTACCGACTGTTGCAAGGAGAACAAATATTTCATCTGCGAGAAAGCGAAAGGTGAGTTGCCTCAGAAAAAATTTATATGACAGCGATGCTCGTCGAACATTCTACAAGTATATGAGGAGAGGAAAGGAAAAGTTGTGGACTGAGCATCATTCAGAGGGCTACAATCCAAAATGACTGACATTCGAGTTGTTGAGCTATCTGCTACGTGCATTGAGTCAGTTAATAGAAGTGAACTTTTTTTCACTCCTGCAAAAGAATTCCCAGCAGCTTAGCAGAAATTAGTGCATCTACATACTGAACTACTGGGTTCTATTCCCTTCTGAGAAGCTCAGGTATTTTTAAGTCCCCCACCCACAGTATAATTATATTATTTTTCATTCATAACGTTTTGTAAGAATTGATTCGATTTTGTAGAACTGGTATCTCTTTGGGTCAACACGAACTTGAGTCGCGCCCAGATACAAAACCAATTTATCATACGTTGTAAGGGTATTCCAGTACCGGTACTCCGAGAAGTGTCCATCATTTTTAAATAAGTCTAAAGGTTGGAAAAGGTTTAAAATTAAGCTAACTACGGCTTAATCAATGGTCTCTACGAGAGAAAACGTCTATCATCGACAAATTTGTCAAGCTGCCTCTTTTTTAGTTAACACAACCGTTTGATTTCACTCTAATCATGTCAAATTTTCTTTTCTTCTGTGACCCAAATATAAATCGCAGTTCAGTTTCGCCCCATATGAGGTTATCCGGATTGCGGAATCTGGGAAATTAATTCTTGCCCGTGGAACCTGGAACTTGCTTTGGAAACTGAGATCCAGCTCACTCTCCGTTAGCACTATAGTGCTCTACCAACTGAGCTATGAAGACCCATACATTAGGAGCAGGCCCTTATGTTGAGTTTATCTTAACCCGTGAAAGGAATGAAACTTAGAATGAAGGTGATGTGAACTGCGAAAACACAAAGTTTAAATGAAGACATTGAAATTATCACTGCGACGATCATATCTTAAACTTAATGTATTAAAGATGAGTTTTACAGTTAACCTATTCACTGAATATATATTCAGTTACTACGTTTTGATTTTATTATTTCGGCCCATTAACTAGGCCCCCTGGTTTGTTCTCCGGACTGGTTTCTCAGTGGATCATCTTGCTATCAGGAAAACAAAAAAGATACCTGGAAAGAAGCAAAAAAAGGTTGTACTGAGTCCGGAGGCAATTTGGTTAAGATAAATAACTCTTCAAAGCACCAGGTTTTGACTCGTTTCCTACAGATTTCAGGTATAAAGGGAGCGAAAATAGATGTAAGTACGCGTTATTTACCGCACTTATCACCAGCTGTAAAAATCATCAAACGCAATGACATGCTTACCCATCTTCTTTCTGTATCAAGAGTTGTGCATTATTTTACTAATAGTGAAACGCATGTCATCCCAAACCGGGCTTTGTAAGGGCGGGACCCTGGAGAAGTTGAAGACAGTGTCGGTCATGCGTGATGAAGTCATATATACACGTATGACAACTTAAAAGTATCATATCTCTAGATATTAAACAAAGAAAGTTTGGCGGTCATAGCTTGAACAGATTTGAAAAGGCACAGCGGCGTACTATTAAGAGGGTCTCAATGGGGTGGTAGGTAGCTTTTACCGTTATCGGCTAAAATTTTGGCTCTTTTACGGCTATCGGTTATTTTTTTCCAGTTACGGTTAACAACAAAGTTAAAAATTAAGTTCTTTTGTTTCAAGGAGTTAAATATTAATAAACCTCTATTTTTTGTATCTTTAAAGCAAAATAAAGGTCTTAGGATCATCTCGGGATGAAATAAGCCATTCTTTTGAAAAATTTTAACATTTGATAGATCATACTTTTTATAAAGTATTCAACTTCTAATATTATTTTACGCATACAAATGTCAATAGTCAATTTAAAAATAATCTTTGTGAAAGAGCAAAAGTAGACACGCAAACGCCCAACTCAAGGCCGGGGCGCGATATTCATTTATAACAGAAATGGCCGTTTTCACACTAGAGACCGATTATTCGGGTGAGACGGGTTATCCGTTTGATAATTCGCATCAGATAGGTAATACGTCTTAATTTGAAAATGGAATGGTTTTAATTTTGAATCAGAACAATTCGCCTAGCTTTCTTCGTCAATTTTGATGGACAATTTAATTGAAGATGGATTATCCATTTCAGGTAGCCTGTGTACAGCCGCCCCCTCCCCTCAGAAGGAGGAAGGGAGAAGGAGTGTCTGTGGTGGAGGGGGTGACTGTACACAGGCTAGTCTCAGATGGATAATCCATTTCTAGCTCTAGTGTGAAAACGGCCAAGTGTAAAACAATAGACCATTCCCGCATTCGTCACAAGCACGCGCGCGAAAACATGAAAGTGAGGCTCGGGTGGACAAACATCAAACATGGCGGACAACACCGAGAAGCCTAAGGCGCAAACTGCGAAAGATATCCCGTGGTGTAAGTCTCTTAAAAGCTTGCCAGTGTTTACAAGGAAAGAGATAGATGAACACCGGAACAATAGTGGCAAACGAAAGGCTGACGACGTTTCGAAGCCTATTAAAAAAACCCTGAAGCGCGGCTTAAAATTTCAAGAAGAACGGTATCTTTCATCAGACACAGTGTATACGAAGGTATTTGGTAACTCGTTTATGGTAAAAGCAAAGTGTCGTGCCAGCATGAGTACTCGAGAAATTCACGAACTAGAAGTTTCACTCGATGTAACATCTGGGAATGTACGGGAAGCACACTGTACTTGCAGAGCTGGCAAAAGTGGATACTGTAATCATGTGATGAGTCTTCTACTTGAACTCGCTCGTTACTCTTTGGAAGACTTTGACAGGATACCCGAGGAAGCAGCATGTACAAGTATGTCAAGGAAATGGGGTATTCCAGGTAAAGTATAAATTGATTTCAAATAGCTGTAAGTACCTACCTGTACTTTTGGGCAGCTCACGCAAGTAGTTAACATGTTCGGTTTTCGTCTTCTAGCTGAAGAATTAAACTGATAATAGCATAGGTCATGCTGAAGCACGTCTTGATAAAGTTGTATGATGTGTCTGAAAGTTTTGAAGTGACTTAAGCATTATTCACATAGTGATCAAACTTTTTTCTGTTCTTGTTCTAAGGTGAGAAAGGTCTACCTAAAGAACCCATAATGAAGACATCAGTTCAAAAGGAGTTCACGAACAAGGGAATAAAACCAACTCTGTATGATCCAAGAGTCAAGGAAAGAAAAAGATTAGACATCCGTGGAGTTCAAGTAATGCAAAAGGAATTGGAATCAATTCATCCTCTTATTGGTTTTTCCCATGTCATCCCAAAAAAGCCTGAATTGCTGACTAATATAGACACCAGGTATGGACCAGTGGTCATTGGATCTCCCCTCTCTTTTCATTTAAGTTCTTTGGAGTTCAATTTCACTGTTGTCACTAACCTGGAACCGGCAGTTAACCCTGCTCAAGCAGATTCAAGTGACATTTACAAAGTAAGCTTGCCATTCCATTTCCCAGATTTACCTGAAGCTGTTCATTTCAGTACTGTGCAACAAACATTCATTGAACACTTAAGAGTAACTCACCAAGAAAGTATTGATATTGAGAAAAGGACTGTTAAGCAAAGGGAATGTGATGAGTGGATAAAACACCGCAAAAATAGACTTGGATCATCTGTGTGTCACAGAATATATGTAAGGAAACGAAGTTTCAATAATCTTGCCAAGGAACTTAACCAGCCATTTAAGCCTCTAGATGAAATTCCAGAAATTCAGCAGAGAAAGCTAAAGCATGGCATAAAATTTGAGCCAGTTGCAAGAGAAAAATATTATGATGTCATGAAGCACTATTTGAAGAGGCCAATTACCTTGAGAGAGACAGGAATGGTGATTCCCCTATGCATGTTTTGGCTTGAAGGCAGTCCTGATGGTCTTGTTATTGATCCATGTTCCTCATCTGGGAAGATACGGACAATTGAAATGAAATGTCCAGAGGGAAAGAAGAACCACACCCCAGAGGAGGCAATACAAAATGAATCGTTTTACATTGAATTAGTTGATGGTAAACCCAACCTGAAGAAAGATCATCACCTAGGATATTACACCCAAGTCCAGCTAGTTCTGGGTTTCTGTGGTTTAGAGTGGGTTGACTTTGTAGTCTATCTATTTAAAGGGATGATCATCACAAGGGTTCCATTTAATAAAGATTACTTTGACCAAGTAGTATGTAAAGTAAACATCTTCTATGTAAAGTGGTTTCTTCCTCAGGTCATGGCCTAAATGCAGTTTAGTATATTGTGCATTGTGCCTGAGCAAACGGTGACATTACAACGTGTACCAGTTTTCCATAGTATCTAGCTTTTAGACTCCTGTTGATGGGTGTTAGGGCTTCAAGGATAAGGTTACTTTGCTTGTTGCAATGTTATTACAGTACAGTAAAAACCTACGTATAAGAACCTAAAATTTAAGAACCTGTTAGGCTAAAATGTTTATTTTAAACCCCCTTTTCATAATAACCTATTTAGCCTAAAATTTTCAATAGGTTAATATTTTACAAACATGAAACAGATGAAAATACGGAGAAAACTTTTAGTCTAGGTTTCAGTCAGTAAGATTCAAACAATGAACTAAAATGAAAACCATATCATGTCTTTGCCAATACTGGATTACACAATGCAATATTATTATTAAGAATACAGATCTCTCTCATATGCCCGAGAGTAGTTATCTGTGCTGATCACTAGTACCCCTATCAAAATTAAGAGCCTGTTTAAGAACCTAAGTAGCCCAGAATCCCACTAAATACCATTTCTATAAGAACCTATTTAGGCTAAGTTGGAAAAATCTAGGTTCTTGTATGCATATTTTTACTGTATTTTATTGAAAATATACGAGAAGGAGTATTTCATAGAATTCTTAAAAAAGATGACTTCCATGACAAGAATATTAAAAGTATTACATGTTCAGCAATTACTTAACAATTTCTGTTCAATTTCTATGAGAGCAATGATTTGCGCAATAATCTCAAGAAAGGTACTGTTTGAAAATCGTGGAAATTCAATTATTGCAAAATATCAATTATTCTAAAAGGGAAAGTGTTTTCATTGACAAAAGAAATGTTAGTTAGTCTTGAAAAAGCGAAAATTCTCCTTCGGTATTTATTCATAAACCAACTTGATCCTTGTAAATCATTGGGCACTTTGAAGGAAATGATGATAAAACCATAACATTATTATTGCTTAATAAGCGGGTCCATAAAGTTGCATAGAAGACAAGCCACTGTCCATATTTGGTTTATGGTCCCATTCATATTTAGTGGAATTTCAGTCTTTAAGACTTTAAATTTCTTAATGCGAGCAATAATACGTTCTACATGGATTCTAACAGAGGCGATTGTTTGACTAAATACAACATCTTCTTTGTCAAGCTGCTCTTTGCCATCAAGAAATGCAGGTATGTTTAACTTAACTCCTAGAGGGTCAAGTAATTCCTGGATTGTAAATCCTCTGTCTGCCATAATTGAATCCCCTTTCTCCCAAAGTTCTGGGTGTAGTATGCCACACCTGGAAACTATTTCCTTATCTGACAGCGATCCAGGGTACAACTGACTCACAAAAGTTATAGCTCCAGAAGGACTGATGCCCACTAAAGCTTTGTATGTTACATGGTGCTTATAGTGTGAGTAAAGGGCACTCTGTGTAGTTAGGCTAGAAGGCACTTGTACAAAGATTTCTGTACAGTCAATGATACATCTTGTTGAGGGATAAGTGTCCTTAAAACATATTGGCATGGATGAAACAATCTGATCTTTAGAAGGCCATATGGGAATATTTCCCAAACAGAAGTACAAGTAATTTGACCGGGTGATCAAGTACCGGGAAATGGTTGATTTGCTAAGTCCAAATAACCACGCCAGATGTTTCTGTCCAAATCCACACCTTAACCACACCAAAAACATAAACAATTGTTCAATCACATCCGATTTAGGGCTCACACCAGGCTTACTTCCTTCAGTAAATTTACATTCATCAGGTTCATCTGACCCATTCTTTGAAGGCTCATAGTATTTCAAATTACTAGCATTCTCACCAGGATTTAAAAATTGAAAAAGAATGTCAAACTTAACTGGATGAAAA